ATATTATATTCAATTATGAGTTACAACTAATATTGTAAAAATATATCTATAATTTAATTGTTTTGACTTCATTTTGTCTTTAGAAGAAAGAAAGATGAAGACAAAAGAGTACACAAAATATTATTATTAGTTTTAGTTGAGACTTGAAAAGATGTTATAAAATATTAGTTCAAACCAGTTAGAATAATCAAATCAAACCAATTACAATCGGTTTGGTTTGGATTAGATTAGATCTCTTAATTAGTTTGGTTTGGATTAAAAGTCCCTAAACTAACTTGTAATTGGTTTGCATTTCACCTAAGATAAACAGTTTGGTGGATTTGCACACTCATATTTAGTCTAGGCCTAGACTTGTGTTAAGTCTTTAGTAAAATAAAAAGGGGCTTTATCCCACATTGATTAGGAAGCGAGTGGCGGGGACCTAAGACTTCTTTAAAGAGCTCAAAGTTATTGTTCATACTACCCTAGTTAGAAACTAATTTATTGATTTGGTCAATGAAAATCAAGTGCTTTGCACGGTTTCATGAGATAATATTATAACCTCACAAATGAGTTAAAAAAATGAAGAACACAAAAACAAAACAAAAAATAGATTGTAACGTTTTATTTCGAATTGGTTCCAAGTAAACAAAATAATGAGATTTGACATTATTTTTAATTTTGAATTACGACACTAAATAAAAAATTTACTCTGGACTTCAAATCCTGGATTCTACTTGTCATTACGCCCACTTGAGTTTTTATTCAATGTCATTATGCTAGAGTTTTTATTCAATGTCATTATTGACCTTAAAGTGAGCAAAGTTACTAAACTACCATTTTCTCCATCAACATCAAGCAAAAAATTTAAGGGTATAAAAGTAATTTACGAGTAAGATTTTTTCTTTCCTCCCAATTTAACTTTCAATACCAAACAAGTGAAAGTAAACTCATTTTCATTTCATCTTCTCATACCAAACAACATACAAAAATATCAATTTCCTTTATATCATATTTTTTTTCCTTCCTACCAAACATAGCATTAGACTTATAACCAAAGCATTCATCGTATTTATAATGAGAGAGCGTCCATTTCAAGTGATCCACATCAATATCATGAATAGTATATGACGAAATTGATAATCCGTCTCTTCATATCTCCTATCTAAAACTAGAAGTAGACAACCTTCTTGCTTTAGTTCCCCAGTTCAAATCAAGTGTTACAAGATTCTATCACAACTTTATCCCATTACAAGTTAATAACAAATTCCCTAACGCTTTAGATAAGTTTGATGGTGTACAGCCTACCTTTTATTTTTAACATACAAAGGAATTATTTTTCACGCCTTACGCAAAATTTTAGTGCAAGTATCTGGCCCGTTCACTTCGCTGATTCGAGTTTGTAATTCGAGTTGAGATGTGATTTTGTGTGAGAGCTTTTTACTGTAGCAAAAAAGTTAGATGTGACTGTTTCTGAGAGCTTTTTACTGTAGCAAAACTCGAATTCTAAACTCGAATCAGCGAAATGAACGGTTAAAGAGTCTTACTTAGAAGCCTAATCTAAGATCTAATTACTTATCTTAGACTTGTAATGTACAAAGGAGTGAAGCCTATCCAAGTATACTTATGGCCTAAATCAGTAATCTTATTAACAGCTTAAAAGTAAAGAAACAACACATCTACCTACAATTGAGGTAAAGGCATTAGAAAGTTTGTTCCAATGGTTTAAAAACAACTTTAAAAAAAAAAAAAAAAAATTAGCAAATGGGATAAATCCCATTTTCTTCTAATCAAGTATGCAAAAATCACAAAAAGAAATTTGTGAGCCTCATGTCATGCAAAGGGATTAGGAGAGGAAGTTGAATTTCCTATGGGACAATGGGAATCTGATTCCAATCTCTTTGTGGTTGCTTAATTCCCTCTTGTACCCTTTTCAATAAAGAGAATCAAGTAAAGATTAATGATATTTTAAGTTACTCGATTTTAAGTTGTGTTATTAATTTCGTAAGCACAAATAAGAAAATCACTTTAATTCAAATTCCCAAACGTCTACTATAACATTTCAATGAAATACTTGAATCCCATTTGATGTTCCCCCTCCTCAAGTTCTCATTGGCAAAAAGAAAAAAGGATCGTTACAACTTAGTATACAATTTTTTTTAATGCAACTTAATTTTGCCTTAAATATGATTAGATTAAAAATCTAGGTTACATAGTTCGATAATTATAAAAGTATGCTATGTATTTTGTTGAAAGGTGGGTTTATCCCCTAAGGAAAAAAAAAAAAAAAAAGAGGTGGATTTTTAACCCTGTACTTTTGAAACATACAAATTTTTTTTCTCTATTAATAAATAAAAAAAAATTGATTCAAAATTTAAAAATAAAAAAAACGTTGATAACACGTGGATTCTATTATCAGATAAAGAGAGTTTTCATACAAGAGAAATGTTCGCGTTTTTTGTTACTCTCTTTGTCACTTCACTGTTTCACACGTGAACTCTGTTATTATTTTTTATTTAAATAATAATACATAATGTTAGTAGAGTCTACTTGTTAAATGGAAACACACCGAGTAAAAACCCACATTTCTAATAAAATGGAGGAGGTATATTTTATTAATAATACCTATGTATTGAAGTTTTATTTTGTTTTCTTCGGTTCAATGCACCAAACCGTCTCTCAGTTAATTTTGAATGCTCTCGAACCATAAATGCAAATTAGTATACGAAGTTATTTTATCATGTAAAGGACACTTACATTTCTCATTATTGTTTTTTTTTTTTTTAAACCCCACTACCTAAGTAACCATTAACCAAGCAAAGCAAAAATAAATCCCATTTTAAGACCATTTTCAAAAGGAAAAAAAAATCCTATTTTAAGACCCCAAATATAGAAATCAGTAAAATAGAGAGAGAGAGAAAAAAAAAAAAAAAAAAAAAAAACGCCCCACACAATTTTTCTACTTTAATGCTTCATAAAGTCCCACGCGCATTTAGTTTGTTGAAGGAAAAAATAAAACTCAGCCGGCATTTCATCTATAAAATATAAAATTCCAATAAATTATATCATTACTGATGAAGGAAAAAACAAAGATTAATTATAAAAATTTCCTCCAAACTATGATTTTTATAATAATTTGTCTTATAAATTTTAAATAACATCCATTTTTCTAATGTAGGTTATGTTAACAACTTTTTCTTTTCCATTAGAGTCCGTTTGGTTAGAGAATTCGTTCTCTGATTCGAATGTTTATTGTTTACTACAATATTTTCTTTCATAAAAAATACACATAAATAAAAAATAATTATAATCTCATAGTTTTAATCCATGAATCAAACGGGTTCTAAGAAACAGAATTTACAAATCTTACTTATTTAGTCATTCTTAGTGAGATATTTACTTCACAATTACACTTTTACCCTTTTAGAAGGAATTTCATAAAAAATAAAAAAATAAAAACACGAAACTAAAAACTAAAAACGACATTACCTAATAAAAAAAGTTTTAAAAAAATTTAAAAAACTAACTAAAGACATCAACAAATTGGAAGAGTAAATTCTTAGCATAAGCAAATTGAAAAAAAAAGAAAGAAGTAAATTCTTAGCATCAACAAATTGGAACAGTAACTAAAGACATCAACAAATTGGAACAGTAAATTCTTAAAAACTAAACGACATTACCAATGAAACAAGGAATTCTTAGCAACAACAAATTGAAAAAAAAAAAACAAAAAAAAAAAAAAACAAAAAACTAGACGGAACATTAACTAATGAAACATCAACCCACCACTAACCTGTGATTCAAGAGTTTTATTCACAAGGAAACTTATCAAAAACACAACCATACACTTCTCTGATGTTCATTTTCCCAAATTCCATCACACCAAACAGAAAAAGGGAGAGTCAGAGAGAAAAAAAAAAATATATATATATATATATTTCAGTTTTCAATAGAAATTTACAACACAGATTAGTATTTTAGAGCTTAGATCTATGAGCTGATAAATTTACGACACTGAATATACCCACAGTTAACTCCAAGGGAATGTTCTCTTCATGAGCAAACTTATTGTAAGTAGGATTCAAATCGCCACTATCTCCCACTGCTACAGCCATTGGAAGTGATTCAACATGTTTCTTGCAATGGAGCTTCAAGTTCTCTAAATATTTTTTGATTTATCGGCAGATCTCTAACCCTAAGAACCCAAATGTTAAAGAGCTTCAATTGTTTCGAGTTGAGATGTGATTTTATGTGAGAACTTTTTACTGTAGCAAAAAAATTAGATGTGATTGTTTGTGAGAGTTTTTTACTGTAGTAAAACTCGAATTCTAAACTCGAATCATCGAAATGAACGGGACCTAAATCTCTTACAATCTAAATTTACAATAATATCCTCTCCATATGAGTCACATGCCACTCATGTGATAAATTTTGTCACTTATTATAATATAATGGATAAAATTATTAACAGAACATACATTAAAAAAATATATGTTATTTTTTATAATTTAAAAAATAAAATGTTACGATGATCATAATTCATGATGAATTTTTATAATTACAAAACTTGATTAAGAAAAGGAAATTAGTAAAATTGGCCCACCGACCCCTATTGTTGTTAATAATAAATTCAAACATATTATATTTTGAGTAGAAAATTTAATAATATTTGATTGAAAGTGGAAATTAACAGAGACTGACTGACTGGCTATCTATCTATGTATTACATAATATAATTATAAATAATTAAAAATAAACCATCAAAAGAGGAATTAGTTAAGTTTGGCAAAAATAAATAAATAATAAAATCCAATATAAAAGTAAATCTAAAATAAAATCCAATAAACAGAGAGATCGGCTTAGTGGACAACCACCCTGAACACTCTCATTTTTTTTTTTCTTTTTTCTCATTTTTTCCTCATTTTTTTCCATTTTCAATTTTCTCTTCTTTCCGTTTCACTTCTGTTTCTTCGACCTAATTCTCTCACCGTTCACTTCTCTTCTTCAGTTTCTGATTTGAAAAGAAAAAAGAAAAAAAAAAGTTTTGATTTTTTGGTTTTCCTTAACGGAAGCTCAATCAATAGTATATATAACAGTACGTCCGTTTTCTTTTTTCTCTCACCGACATTTTTGGCGTTTCTCTCTCTCTCTCTCTCTTCCTCTCCCTCTCTCTAAAAGATTTTGAAAAAAAAAAAAAGAAACGAAATTGGGATTTTCTTTGTGGGTGTGAAGAAGAAAGAACAATGGCGACGAATATAGGGATGATGGACAGCGCGTACTTCGTTGGAAGAAATGAGATTCTAACGTGGATCAACAATCGTCTTCAGCTTAATCTCTCTCGTATTGAAGAGGTTTTTTTCTTTTTTCTTTTTTTTTTTTGGAATCTTGTTTGAGTTTTTCCTTTGTTTGGCTCTTGGTATGAATTTTTGTAGAGAAAATGGAAGTATCTTGGAAATGGGTATTCTTTTTCTAGGCGTTTTCGGCAAAACCCTTTCTGGGTTTTGTTTTGCCTTCTTCCTTGTTCGCTTATTTTGTATTTTTTTTGGTTTTTTATTCGTACGATTTTTATTATTTTAGAGGGTTTGTGCGTTTTATTTCTCTATGTTTTGTGGTTGCATTTCCTTTTCGCCTTTTTTAGTTTACATTTACTTGCCATGAATCTGTTAATAAATGGGTCTCATTTTTTATTCCTATCAATTGAGAAAAAATATGTCGTTTTCTTTAACAGTGGATCTGTGCTCGGGACTTTTGGAAATCTGGAGAAGTTATCTCCTTGCTTTCTGAAATGTTTTGGAGATTTCTTGAATTGGTGAATTATGTTTGATTTTTAGTGAATTTTGTTGGGTTGTAATGTATGAATTATACTGGATTGTGATTCGTGTCGTATGGCACAAGATTTGTAAAGTCACAACTTATAAAGAATTGCGGCCCGTTCATTTTACCGATTCGAGTTTAAAATTTAAGTTTTGCTATAATAAAAAGCTTTCAGAAACAGTCACATCTAACTTTTTTCCTACATAAAAAAACTCTCACATAAAGTCACATCTCAACTCGAATCAGTAAACGAAACGGGCTGTAATAGCATAATGGCTTTGAACCTTTATGCTTTTCTTTTTTGATATAATTGTTTATAGATTTATTCTACAGTAGGTAATATCTTTGAGTTATTTGTTTATAATAACACGGACCATATATACTCTGCACTTTTCAGCATTTAGAATTTCCATTTCCGGTAACTTTCGACCTAAATTTACGTTTGCTTTATGTTGATGTGAAATGATTTGGCCAGGCCGCATCCGGTGCCGTGCAATGTCAAATGATAGACATGACATATCCAGGAGCTGTTCCAATGCACAAGGTGATAACCTATCTTGCCTTTGCTTTTGTATTCTTGCCCCTGCTTTTTTAATTGTTAATTTTGTTTGATTTATGTTTTTTCTTTCTTAACAATTCTGTATCGTAGGTCAATTTTGACGCAAAGACAGAATATGATATGATCCAGAACTATAAGGTTCTGCAGGATGTGTTCAACAAGCTTAAAATTGATAAGGTATTATCACAATAGCAGCCCCTTTTTTCCTGTATGTCGCACTTCATGGAAACTGGTGTTGATTTTATCTGGTTACATAGTCACACTGTTAAATAATTATATACATTGTTTTATTTCCGTTAGATCATTTCGTTTTACATGTAGGATCAGTTGATCTTTACTCTATTTATGCAAATTAGAAAGTTCTTACACCTCTCAAGATTGCACTGTTTTTTTATTGAGTTGGTGGTAAACAACTTTACATCAGCTGATCATCTTATGCATCTCTTGAGACACCTTGTTAGTAATTGATGCAATTTAGATCAACCCTGAGAAGTTTTGTTTCAGCTATCATTCCTGTTTTTCTTGTCATGAATGGTATTTGTTGGCCTGAATTTTGAAGGTGCACTGGTGCCGGTTAATTTATATTATGACTGATATCTTTCTCTCCTTTTGTCGTGTTGAAGCACATTGAAGTTAATAGGCTTGTTAAAGGTCGACCCCTGGACAACTTGGAGTTCTTACAATGGCTGAAACGCTACTGTGATTCTGTAAATGGCGGCATTATGAACGAGTATGTTACACTTTTGAGTGTGCTTTTAATGTCCTATTTCTGCATGTACCCTCTTTTATGTTTTATAACCTGCGTTGTTTATTATCTTATAGGAATTATAATCCTGTTGAGAGAAGGGGCAAGGGTGGGAAAGAGCGCAATTTCAAGGGTTCTCAAAAGAACTCAAAATCACTGCAAACAAACAATACGCATAATGCTGGCTCAGGCGATGCTGCTGGTTTGAGAAACTCTGGTCAGCTTACACCTTTTTTTTTCCCCCTTCTTCATCTTCTTCTTCCTCTTCTTTATTACCCTTGTCTTTATTAGCACCCGTTTATGTTTCCTATGGCTTTTGCGTTTATTAAATTAGGTCCAAAGCAAGGGAAGACTTATTCAGCATCGGGTGCTGCTGATTCTACCAGTGAGATTCAGGCTCTTTCCAATGAGGTATTGATGTTGGATTCTTGTTGTATTTCCTGTCTCATTAAAATCCAAATTTGTGAGGATGTTATGCACACTTCCTTTGATACTTGGATACTTGCTTGAGGAGTTTGTTTTTCTTTCGATCTCTCAAATGATAGTCTGAAAATCCATAACAAGGGAGTTCAGTGATCTTGCATCTGATTTATTCCTTTCTTTCATCTTTTTTATTGTTAGTCATATTATTTTTCTGTTTTGGCTGCCTATGTTGAGATTTGCTCAGTCCTATTCCTATGCTCTTTACTAAAATTTCATTCTGATGGTTTTTTGTTTTCGGCTACAGATAACTGATCTCAAGCTCTCTGTGGACGTTTTGGAAAAGGAAAGAGATTTTTACTTTGCAAAGCTAAGGGATATCGAAATACTTTGTCAAGATCCTGAATTGGAAAATCTCCCGGTAAGAGAGTTTCAACAAGTGTGTTATACAGTTGTCTACAAATTCGCTAAGCACTTTGAGCACATTTCGATTCATGAAGTAAACGATTTTGAATTGAAAATATGGTGCTGCAGGCGTTTTATATAGCTGTCTACAAATTTGCTAAGCAGTTTGTTGACAAGTCTAAACAATTTGTATGAAAAATTGATGCAGATGGCAGTAGCAGTAAAGAAGATCTTGTATGCCGTCGATGCAAAAGAATCTGCATTGTCCGAGGCTCAGGAATACATTCAGCAATCAGCGAATGCATCAAAGGAGGAGCCCGACACCGAAAATGAGCCTTGAACGCGAGTTTCAACTTAGTAACACACTCAGGGAAGTCGTGGTTTTTCTTGTTGAGAAGATTCTGGTGACCCTTCGCTTCAATCCAACTGTGAAGTACTACAAGATGAAGGGCGTTTAGATGTTTGTTGATTTTTCTTGTTTTCCTCCCTTGTATGTGCTGGATGCATAGGTTAACGACAATTGATTCTCTGAGTGAATCGTCTATAATAACAGAACTTACTGAACTTTTTTTTGTTTTAACAATGGTTGTGGATGCAATTCTCTGCGATTGCGAGTAGTAGGAGCATTGCTATTAGTCGTTGGATTCATCGTTGTCATTGGTTATAATGATAATTTTTCCGGTTGTGGAGTTTACAACTTTTAGTTACTCATTGTCCACTTTTAGTTACTCATTGTCCATAAAGCACAAAGTGGAATTTGCTTCTAAGGTTTGAGCATAGGTTTCATATATAATATTTTGATGCATAGTTTTGCGTTGAGAAACTATGATGAGTTTTGGCATTTAATATTGTCAAGGCAAAGTAGAAAGATTTGGGACAAATATCAAGTCGAAAAGACATATCATCCCTAAAAGAGTTTAAAAAGTTAGTCATTTCTTTGATCTAGTTTCTTCTCCAAAAGTAGCCCTCCTAATGCCTTGCCTTTCTCCAACATCGTGAGAATGAATGCATAATTAATAATTGATAATAGCCCTCCTAATAATGGCCTTGCCTTTCCCCCTTTAGGACCTCATAATTCTATGGATTTTTTTTTTTTTTGAAAAAAACTAATTCTATTGGAAATTTTAAAACGCCAAAGACAAAGTATCAATTTACTATTGGGGATGAAAAATATTTACCAATCAACATTTTAGAAAAAGAAAAAAAAAGAAAAGAATTACATGTTAGCATATTTCCGATATATATGATACACGAGTTGATAGAGAATATATTTCTACCAGTATTTCCAATAGTATCGTCATATATCCTAATACGGGCAGTGATAAGGATTTTATCATTCAGTATTAACCATAAGAAGCATAATGTTTGAGCTGCTACAAATAAAATATTGCATTTTTTAATTTAAGATGTGATTATTAGATTTCTTTATATATGTGTGTGTGTGTGTGTGTGTGTGTGTATATATATATATGTGTGTGTTCAGATAGCAAATCAGAGAGATTGTGAAGATTGTGATGATTTCATAACATTACCTAAAAAAGTTTTCATTTGTCATTTTGTTGATCTAATTTCTTCTGCAAAAGGTACATTTCAACTTCCCAATTCCTCCTAATCATGGTCACTCCTTTTTCCAACATAATTGGATTGAATGTAATGACTGCGTTTTTTCAACTTCTGACATCCAACGGTTAAGTTCAGATAATATGCACAACCTTTGTTAAACAAGCATGTCCCAAGTGGTGGGGGAGAGAAGAGGAGGCTCTTCCTTTGACACAGCGAAATCAAATCTTAAAAACAATCTGCCTAAATCCATCATTTTCACTAATATAACACCTTTTCAAAGGTTGACATGTCAACTATAGATAGTGATATGAATCTCAACTTTTGATACCAACTCACGTAGCAGGTGAATTGTCATATTCCGATCAGTAGATTCAACTTTAATGAAGTGTTTGCCACCATAAAGTAGTATTCAGTTGAAAGAAAATTGTCAAGGGGAAACCATGATAATTACATAAAAAAAAACAAAGAACATTAAGCACCCCACCAAAAAAAAAAAAAGGGGGGAAAAAACAGACATTATGTTCTGCCAAATGTTCTACTAAATAGACAATGCCTTTTCCCTTCTTGTTTTTCTCCCCCTTCACAAGGAACTAACTAGAAAACATACATAATTACAGCAACAAGGCTCAATACCTGTGGTCATCATTATAGATTGAGTGACCCTCGTTCCTCCGAGACCTGTCAGCCTGCAAAAACGACACAAGCTCATTAAGCCAGACTGAAACAGCGTTCCATCATTTGTCTAACAACAAGATTCTAAACAACAAAAATGTTTGTTAGTGGCCGAGGAGCATACCCTGTGGATGAGCTTTTCAAACGCTTCAGTCCCATTCTCTTCAATGTACTTCTCTGCAGCAGTTAAGATGTCGTCTGGTTTACTGAAGATGTCCTTCTTCCTCGGCACGTACCAGATGTTAATAGTCTGCGACCCAGGGTTGACAAAGAAGGGTCGGACGAAATGTTCATAAACATATGCAGCGCCACTGAAGAAGGGGATGACCAACCAGCAGGTGACAATAAGCTTGGCATACGACCAGATTGGGATCCTGCAAGAAAGAACGAAATTTTCTTATGGAATGACGAGCTGACACATTTCAGAATATCAGAATTATGACACTTAACTGAAACAACGCATGAGACAAATGCAGGTTGAACTCGGATCAATGATAAATTAAATGGAAAACTAGGCTCAACATCACTTTCATGTAACTAGAATAAGCTAAACACATAAATGCGAATGGCAAATTGGCAATTCAAGAACATAGATAGCGCGAAATCATTTTGACCTTAGGTGAAACAAATCATATCATTGACCAAATATCATAATATACGAAATAATAATATTATAATACTAGAGATCCCGACTGTTTAATCCCAACTAATATGGCTTGTGAGTAGTCATTTTTTACACGTCAATTAATATCAAGAAATTCTACCTACCAATGAAAAATTGACAACTCACTGCTGGTATCGAAAAGTTGGAATAAAAGTTGGGATTCCTAACAGGTTTCTATAAAAAAACCTACCAAGTTGGGGATCAACTTTTAGATCTCACTATGCAAAATATGAACATATCATATTTAATTAGAGTTCTTACTATAAAAGATAAAGCAGAATTTTTTCAAAAGAAAGGTTTGCTTTTGAAGAAAAATAACAAGAAAAGGGAATTGGTTTACCATTCAATAAGCTTGGCAAAGGTGAGCTCAAAGAGAGTAATCATAGAATATAGAACCCAATAAGTAAGCCACTGCTGGTCATCAATAGGGGATTTAGTCTCAATTGCCCTAATTGATGCATATCTGCCAAAAAAAAAAAACAGTAAACCCAAATCCTAGTGAACAAGAATCGTCCATTAAAAAAAAAAAAAAAACTCAAATCCAAGTGAACAGCAATAAGTCCATAGACAAAATAATTTTACAAAAGAAAATAAATAAAGAAAAATACCCATTGTCCAAGCTTAAAATTTGTTTAATTGCACCAAAAAAAAAAAGGAAAGAGAAATAGCTAGATTTCTACTTACAGAGGATAAACAAGACTAACCACAGGCCTGCAAATACAAAAACATTGGATCAAATTTCCAATAAAAAAGGCAACAATTATTTTGCGGCTAAATTGCATTAAGCGCAATTTATGCGAAGTGGGCAAAAGCAAAACAACGAAAAATACCCAGCAAGAATATCGAAGTTCTTGAGAAGAACTTTAAGGAAACTTCCAGCTCCAGATCCCATCTTCGAATTTACAACTCTGGAGGGCTTAATCTTCAATCTCAAACTGAAGCTTGCAGAACAAGCCAGGGTTTGTTTTCGATTTTCTGAGAGATTCCGTTGCTCCTCAATGAGAGAGAGAGAGAGAGAGAGAGAGTGTGTGACTCTGTATGATGTGTCTGTTCCAAAGTAGAGCGGACAAATATTTTTAATTTAAGAAAAAAAAAGAACTAAAATACAAATGGAGTTGGAGAGTTGTTGGGTGTGGTCGGGAGTATCGTGGTCTCTCTCAAATCACTGATCATAATTAAGGTAATAACGTTGTGGAGAAAGGGATGACAAGATTCCTGATAGGATGGGCTCCGCTCCAAATAGAACGGGGATGGAGGGCAAATTATTAGGAATGGAGATGAAGATAAAATTAGTTCCTGATTCATGGTGGGGTGGAGACATGGAAAGTACTCCCCATCGTACTTTTATTTTTATATTAATGTATAATCATGTAATAAAAATTAAAGCTATTAAGGATAAAGAAGGAATGATGATATATGTCTATATTTTGATGTTTTTAAATTTTTTTTTACATTTATATAGTAGTTATTACTTTTAGTTTCAATTTGTAATATGTTAATAATTTAGTTTTTATCGTGGAACTTTTGATTTTGGATTAAATTTATAATGAATTTATACTATATTTTTATTTTAAGTTATTATAATTTTAAAATACAAAAAAATGAGGCGGGTATGAGAAAGTCACATTTAATTTTTTTACTACAGTAAAAAGCTCTCATATAAAATAACATTTTAATTCGAATTAAAAACTCGAATCAACGAACTAAACGAGTCATAAATAAAAATTTCTAACTCTGACTCGCCCATTCTTAAACAAGAATAGGGACGGAGATAGAAATAGTTTAGAGTAATAAAAATGGGGATGAGAAATCATCCCCATTGCTATTCCTAGTGGGAGTTGGAATTTGATGGAAGATTTTTGATTTACATGTTTTGACCAGCGTGGGTCAATGGTTCTGATTATGAATCTCTGAAGGAGAGGAGGTTGGGTTTGGTGAACAATTTTGTCCTGAGAGATTACCAAAAAGTGAGAATTAAAAGAGATTCCACTCTTTTTTTTCTTTTCTTTTTGCCATAAGAGCATTTGTGTAAAGTACGGACTAAATCAATCAAGTTTAGCGCACTCCTAATTCCTATTAGTGTAAAGGTGTGTTTGGGATTGCATTTAGAACACCTAAAAGCCATTCTGCACAATAAAAGAGTTGTTTTGAGAAGTTGAAATGTGTCACTTTTCAATTCTAATTTTACTTTAACTAAAAGTAGTGATTTTATTAAAAACACAACAATTTCAAATTGCGCCTAAACCAATCATGTGAGTACCCTAAATGGATTGGGCTTTGGGACAATTAAAAAATAGGGAGAAAATTGTTAAACTTACTTTTAGAGTGCACGAGTCTGAACATTTTCTCTTGAATTACACCATTTTGATTAATATTGTATTTAATTAAAAATGATATTAATTAAGAGTAAGGGGTTAAAATCTAGACTCATACACTCTAAAAGAGCATTTGTATAATTTTTCCTTAAATGGGAGTAGAATGAGTGTGAGGTCTGATATAACCCTCGAGTCAAGAGTGAGGATGAAGAGAGATGACAATAGCACTCTCGTCTCCGCTTTGATGTTCTTATATGAATCGAATTTTAGAAATTTGGTTGGGTACTATTGGAGTTTGGATATGATTTAGAGATGCAGTTTTGTTAATTTTAAGATTCAATATAATGGAACTTGCCTTGAATTTTAATAATATTCTAATAGGTAAATGGGTTTGGTATACAGAAAGCACACTGACAACCCCACCGGCAAATGGTATTCCGCGCCTCCTTAATATTGACCTTGTCCTAAGTTAGGCTGATATGAGGGGGTAAAAAGGGAAGGAGGGTGAGGGAAGCATTAAGCATACATGACAAACCCAACCATGCATCGATGTCATCCCTACTTCAATCCACAAACTACCTTCTATAGCACCACTAACCCAATGTTTTTCACTTTGGTCCCCACCCACTTCAGCTTGTCAAAGGACCTAATTCAATGTCCCAACTTCTAAAAAGACCTGTTCAGCTAAAGTAAAAGTTAAAGTTAAAAAAAAAGGACTTATTCGGCGTGTTCAATATTTTTTAATTCGGTCCCATCTGTTCTAAGATATGGATGAGAAGTACATTTTATAAGAAGATGAAGTGTGACTTAATTTTGTCTAAAAAGAACTTTTTAAATTGACCCAATCACTCATAATAAGTTTCATCTGTCTAACCATATGAAGACGCATTTTATGTGATATTAATGATGTTTTTACTTGCACATAGTTGGGTTGGGCATGAAGACAACATACTTAGGTTATAAGATTCAGTATTGAAATCAACTTCAAATCTCGTTCTTTCATTTATTGAAGCTCAAAAACTTGGTGAATTGTTGTAGATTCACTTATATGTCCTCTCAGCAAAACTTATCAAGTCAAATATAAGTTGTGTGATATTTTAACCCCGAGTCTGCGCAACAATCTCTTAACCAAATAATGTGTCAAAGCTTAAATCATTCATTATCTCTTTACTTGGGAGTCAAGAGCCACACAACTCACTGAGAAAGATCAATTGTGAAAATGCATGACCATAAAAGTTCATTTGAAATTTAAATCATTTGGAACCCCATCAGTGACGGAGGTAGGATTTGAATTCAGAGGGGGCACAATAGTTCAAACATTAAGTACAATTTTTACTATTTTGTTAATATAAAATATTATTAAGTAATCGACTTTTTTACATGGTTTTGATGTTTATAAATAGAAATACAGACATCACATAAATCTTGTAAAATTAAAAAAGTTTTTTTTACTTATTTTTTTATTTTATGTTCGTCATTCTTAAGAAGTATAATTGATGGGTATTGAAGCTAATGAATTTATGTAGCAATCAAACTTTTGACGTAAAGTATTAAAGAATAAAGAAAAGAGAGGAAAAGAGAGAAAAAGAGTGGCAAGAATAGAGGAGATAGAAAGAAAAAATAATAATAACAATGAAAACTGAAATAAGGATTGGAAGAGAGAGTAATGAAAAGAAAGGCAACAAAGAATAAAAAATAATAATAAAAAAAAGGAGAAATGAGGGAGAGAATAGCAAACTATCTCAGAAATGAAAATAATGATAAAAGTTGAAGTGGGGGGGTAAGTTACACGGTCTTATTACTCTTACAATTTAGAGAAGGAATCCTAACTTATAAGAGAAGTTTGGGTTAAAACACAACAAAGAAAGCCCACAGCATGGTAGACTAGTGGGGGCACAAAGGCACTTCTCAGAACACTAATCCTCAGAACCAACATTATATATAACTATTCTTTAGTTCTGCCCCCACTGGCCCTACGGTGCATCCGTGTCTAAACTCCAAATTGTTCACAAAAGGTTTTTATTTTCCTTTTTTCTAAATGAACGTCAAAAATTGTTTACAAAGTGGAATGAGAAATGGACCAGCCAATTTCATTTTTCATGTTTTTGTTTACCCTTTATCCTTCAGCTCAATCCTGTATTTTTTCCCCCCCTTGTTTCATCACACTTGAGTTAATTCAATCAGCATGAATCAAGAATTTCCAAAAGAGCCATTCCACTTAACCCAAAAATAAGCCTAAGAAACTGCACACTGCCGTTTAAGTTACAATTTACATTCTACACATTACCAGGACTTCTTTACCTATTGCTACTGTTGCAAACCTTAGCTGAATCTTCCTCTGCTTCTGGCTGCTGCCTTAGAAGTTGAGCCGGCCAGGAATCACCCGAGGTGGGATATCTAGCATGAGGTTTGCTGACGTTTGAGGTCGGATTAGATGTGACTTGCGCCGCATCTGATAGTGGATAGGCTTGAAGATCGGAGTGAAAGGGAAGGACAAGGACAGTATGAACCTGACCTAAGGTGGGTTCTGGAGCTGGCATTGTGAGACAATCAGGAGGGGGTGCATTAAGGTCAGGTTTTGACTGGACCACCCTCGCTTCGATCTCGCTTTGTAGCTTTCCGATCTGGGTTCCTAAAGTTGAGTTCTCCTCTCTTAGCTCGTTCTTTTCGACTGTCACCTGTTCAAGTTTCAAACAATTTTGTATCAGAATGTAAGTCAATGGATGTATGCATCAAACAGAATACAAATTGTCGGATATATGTGTACTGATACACTTACATATTGTGTTCTTTCACAAATTCCCTCAAAAGCTTAACATAATAAGACCGAACACTATACATGGACGGTGGACCATTTCACATAAACAGAGGAGATTTCGAATTTAAGGGCAAAAATGTAACCAATCAATTACAATGTGAAATTACACGAGTTTGAACGCAAGATTACATGATCTAATATGATATTATGCTAGTTTACCAATTCTCCCAAAAGTTTAAGCTCATAAAAATTGGGCAAGCATTTGACTTTTATTTTCTAATATACTCGTACCATTACAATTTTCTATCCCTACTGGAAACCTGGTTTCTATGCACTGCATTAGCCATATTCTGAGTAAAAGTTTTAAGGGCCTAACATAGTGAGATTCGGATAAAAGGGAGGTGTTCTCCTTTCTGAGACACTCGATCTGAGCGAGCAAGTCCTTCAACAGTCGAGTAGCTTCACACAACAGAGAGGCCTTGCCGTTGTTCGGCTGTTTCAGATCTGTGGAAGAGATTCCCCTTATGAGTTAAAATGTCCTACACCAAACTAGAACAAGGCAGAGGGAAATCATTACAAGGATCAGAGATTACCAAGAGAATTTGACAACTCGAAGAAAAGCTCATTTAATTGCTCGCGCTTCTGTTTCTCTCTCTCAGCTTTGTGGATTCTTTTAGGAACTTTCTTCTGGTTCTTTGTGCCAGGACAATCCCTGTGCAATAGGACAACAATGGAAAAAAAATCTAATCAGAACATCTAAATGAACATGGTCAACATAAATGCACATCATCTTTTCGAAAACCTCATCTTTAGAACTCCATTTCGAAGGGAAAAAGGGCCAGAAGGTTATGTTATTGGTAAAAAGTGCCAAGCAATAAAACATTGCCAAAACTGCGGTCGTAGGGTCGTATTTTTCAAGCAATATATGATGACGGGCAAATCAATTTGGCTCGTTAAAATCTAAATTATTTTTGTCAAGTGGGACTGGAAAACAAAAAATTTCAAAGGTCGAGATCTTTTTGGACCATCATTCAATGCCTGGAAGAAAAGTGTCGCACGCTACGACCAGATTCGATTGGCCGTAGAGTAGTTTGATTCATAAGACATTGGTTATTACGCATAAGCATGCCTCATGCCTACATAGACTGGAAAATAGATGCTTAAAGTCTCAAATTTACACACAAGCTAAAGCATGATATCAATAGAATAACATTAAGCACTAACATCAAAATTATCTTAACAAAAACATGTCATTTCTAAGTGTACAAGAGTAATTAAGTGATAAGAAGACAATCTACCATTAACAAATAAAAATGATGTAATTAAGCATAGAATTCCCAATTAGGAACTCTTGTTACTTACCGGTCTACAGAGACCTCAAGTCCCACATTGACCTTGTCAACCAACGGTACAGCATCCTCTGAACCCATCTTCTTACCAATGGATTCCAAACCACTCTCAAATTCCTAAAACGTTTCAATTCAAATTCAAAATCAAGCTTTACTCAAAAGAAAACTAAATAATTCAACTTTATCACTACAACAAACAATTACCTCTTTAAAAAAAAAAAGAAAAAAAAACCATGTTTTTTCTGTAAATTCAATTTCGAACAGATAATTTTAAGCAATCAAAACAACTAAAAAGACTTTTCTTTCCAGTAACTTCGCCAAAAAAGAAAAAGAAAAAAAGCTTGAGGAACCCTAGATCATAAGGCAAAAATGAAAGAACCCTCAAATACAACAGACCCACCTCAAGATCAAAAATTGCCAGCAAATCTGTCTCCGACCAAGAAAGGAATTGAATTATCAGACCGAAATTTGTGCAGAAATCAAAAGGGGCCGGAGCAAAAACAAACCTTTTATATTTATACGTAGAAAGATTGGTATAAAATATTTGTATATATATTTGTGTATAAATTATTAAAAAATTATATGTTCTAATGTTGGCGAGGCAGGGAGAGGAGGAGAGAGAGTGTGGCGGGAGAGAAGAAGACACAGGAAGGCGCGTGGCGAGCGCATGCCATTACAGTGGGACGAGGCGCGTCACGTGAGGCGGACACGTGACCTCCGTTTGTGGGATTGTTTCCTCGTTTGTCTGTTGGCGGCTTTTTGGCTCACATTCGAGCTGCTTGGCGCGTGGACATCTGTCGCTATGCCATTTTTGCTCACCCCTTCACTTGATTCTGACCAGCTGAGTTGCCATCATGGCAATCTGTTTGGTGGGAGATCCCTGTTCCGGTCCACGTGGCACTAGTGGGATAAAATATGTAATTTTTTTTTGCTAGAAGGGATAAAATATGTAATTGTCCTTAGTACCCTCATTTATTTTACCGATTCAAATTTTTAATTTTATATTTTTATAATTAAAAGTTCTTATAAAATGTCACATCTAATTTTTTTTACTACAGTTAAAAGCTCTAAAAAAATATAACATCTCAACGAATTGAAAACTCAAATCCGCGAAGTAAACTAAGCCTAAAACCATTTGTTTTCATTTCCTAAAGAAAATTACCATTTTATTCAAAATTTTAAATTTAAGAAAATACTATAGAAAAAGGAGTAATTGAATTAGTATTTGAATCTATAGAAAGAACGAGGCATTAAAAGGTTCTTATGTGATGTCTTCACGGTACAGTATCAAAACACAAAAACTATGAAGGCACATAAATTTATCGTAATTTTTACAACTTCAAAGTTTAAAATTTAAAAATTCTAACATAAAATTCAGAAGTTATCATATTCATTTAAAATTTAAATTTATCGTAATTCAACTATTCAAATTTGCAAGTTTTAACAAAAAATTTATAAATAATTATGTTTTCGGCACGATATCAGAAAATTTTCTTCTAACACTATAAAAATTCCCGATAGGAGAATGTACCCCTTAACTCATCTTTTTAATTAAATTTGTTTTGAACAAATGCTCTTTTTCTCCTCTATAACGGATGAATATTTGCTTGAATTGTGCGTCATATTTTCTTTTTTACACAATATGAGATTTATGAATATGCGAACTCTTGAACCCATACCTTTGATCCAATGGTACTTTTGTTTTGTTTTGTTTTTTTAGTACATAAATTTTGTATTTGCAACACTTTTAAATAACAATTATTTATAAGGATAATATTTCTGAAATGCGTGTTTATCCAATTATCTACTATGGATCGGGTTGTTCGATTGAGTGGAAGCGTGTGGCAGGCACAAGTAATTGTTAGAGAGTTTAATGGAGCGCGAGAGGCGTGTGGCGTCCACGCGGAAAGCCCATCCCAATAGTGGATTACGTTCCGACATTACTACTTACACATCATCTTAATTTCTGTGCCAAAACAAACCTCATACAAGTTGTACTCATCAATGACATGACGTCATTAAATTTTTAATTTTGCCACTATAATAAACCCCACAAAAAGTGAGAATTTTCTTTGGGCAACAAATTAAATTGAAAATGAATAAGGAGGGAAATAATATAATTGATAAATGGATTAGTAAATTATAATATATTTTTTAAAAATAAAAAATTATAATATAATTTGATATTTTTAGTTTTAAATATTATTAAAAACTCAAAAATATCCTAAATTTCTTTTTTTCGCCTTACTCCTCTCTTCTAAACATATATATTTTTTTAAAAGTAAATTATAGTATATTTTTTAAAATAGGTAGATTATAGTTAAGTCCACTATGGTTGAGACCGGCGACCTGAGACTATTTTTTAGTAACCTGTGACCATTTTTGGGTGACCGATGACCGTTTAAAACTATATTTATTGGTAAATACCGTATTTATCATTTAATACTGTATTTGGTAAATACCATATTTACTCGAAAAGCCGACCACCGACTCTGGCGACCGTTTAACGCTGTATTTATAGGTAAATATCGTATTTACCAATAAATACCGTATTTACTAGTAAATATCATATTTACCCGAAAATTCAGCCACCGACTTTAGTGCCGTTTAACACTTTATTTACCAGTAAATATCGTATTTACTAGTAAATATTATATTTATCTGAAAATTCAGGCACCGATTCCTACGACCACTGTATTTAATAATAAATACTGTATTTACCAGTAAAATTCAACCACTGACTCTGGCGACCTTTTATCACTGTATTTACTAGAAAATATCATATTTATCTAAAGATCCCACCACCGACTCTAGTGGCCATTAAACATTGTACTGTATTTACCAGTAAATACTATATTTACCAATAAATATAGCAGATTCCAAATTGTAACTTTTGAAGTATTTACATGTAAATAGAGTATTTGTCCTATTCAAAATTGTAGTTACTAAAGTATTTAGAGGTATCACAACATTGACCAGATGCAAACTTGTTACTATTAAAATATTTACTGTAGTATTTATCATATTTAAAATTAAAATTATTAAAATATTTACGGATAAATACAGTATTTATCAAATTTAAACTTATAACTATTATAATATTTTTAAGTATATACAATATTTACCATATTTAATATTCTAATTGCTAAAGTATTTACCAAATTTCAAACACAAACACAAACAAATCCAAAACAAAATTATTCTGAGATCACAATCACAAACTTATATGTAAAACAAATATGGCAGCACGAAGCCAAAAACGGAAACATGGGACCACCTCTGCCTGCAATAAAGGCTGCCACCGACAGCCTCATGCTGCACCTAAAAATCGTGTGACGGTTGTGGCGGCGATGAGAAAAGCAAGAGAGGCCGAGAGAGAATAAGAGGAGAGAGAAGGAATCAAGAGAGAAAGAGAGAGATTGGAAGGTAGGAGAGAGAGAGAGGGGGGTGGATGTGAGTTTTACTTTTGAGGAGGAAAAGTGAAAACCTAAAGGATAAATTTAAAAATATGATTTGTTTTCATAATTAGAATTTAAAACATGTTACCAACTTTTAAAAAATACATTATACACTTCAAATATACCTGCAAAAGGTGTTATTTGGTGTAATAATACTTTTCCCGTGGAAATTTTTGTCTTGATAAATGCTGCTTAGAGAAATTACACCTGTTTGGGACATACGGATACCTAACTAGAAATTGAGAAATAAACTACCACATTACTTGCTTGTTTACTTTTTTTTTGCTGAATACGTTACTTATTTACTTGATAAATGTGCGAGTGATAGAACAAGATTATTTTTTTTTTCCTTTTTAAGGAAAACATGGTCAGGTAAACTTTTATACACTTATAGATGGTCAAAATTTCTCTTGTAAGTTTCCATGTTACCCTCCACTTGACACGAAGAGGCAAGGTCTTGAAAAGGATGACTTAAAAGTTTGAAGTGGCAAAGAAGGTTTCCTTACTCAAATCCCACTTCTAATGATCCTGACAACAAATTACAAATATAAATCCACGACTTTACAACTGTTAAAAGTCATAGCTTTTCGGTTTCGCTTCCAATTAAAAAAAATACAAAATACAAAAAAACCCCACGATCCAAGCTTTTATTTTGAGATGAATTTAAATTCCAACAACAGAAACATGCACTACCATTAGAAAATCTCTTAATATGGAAAGCTCAGGGGGAGAGAGAGAAAAAAAAAAAGATTAGTGACTAATATTATATTATTTATGTTTCATTATTTACAGAAATATGTCCAATATGAAAAAAAACAAAAGAAAAAGAGAAATAAGGAAACTCATGGTGTGAGACCTACTGAACCTCATGAAATATCCGGACTTTGAAAAATTAGTTTCTCGAGCATCCGAGTTGAAATCTGCGAACCTTCATTCTTCCATTCAATGCAAGAGCCAAGACATCATATTCCTCCACGTACCAGAGCTCAGAAACTACAGCCTGAATTACATTAGAAGGGGTATCAATGGAGGTATATATTTATATATTTAGAGAGAGAGAGAGAGAGAGAGAGAGAGAGAGAGAGAGAGAGTTCAGTACATGGAATGGAATATAATTCTTAGATATCAAAAGAATGATTCCACCTCGAATGAATCTATTAGATCATGCGCATACACAAATTGGCGCCAGGATCCTTTTATCTGAATAATTTAAGGTCAATGCTCATAAGAAATTCCACCACTCGCTGATTTTGTAAGAGTATGACCATCTTTCAGGCGAAGAGAAAGAAAGTGTAAATGCGAACAATTTTAAGAAATATAGTCATTTAGTGAGTAAATTTTGGAGAAAATTACAAGAATAACTATTATTTTTCATCATCCTAATATTTATGCCATTAAAAATATTCTGGTAGAATACGGAAAGTATCCTGCAAAAATATATATATATATATATATATATTATGGTGGAATATGAAAGATATCGTACCAGAATATCAATGGCATGAATGATAAATTTTAAAATTGATGGTAAAAATAAAGTAGTTTTATCTTTTTGATAGCATTCCTGAAAATTTCCCTAAATTTTACAAGTGATAAAATATTACTTGTGGCCACCCAAAATCATTCTTTGTTAAAGCTTCTTTTAATGGTCTGCTTGGAGAAGGATGGCTATGAAGTTGCTTGATATAACAAGAACAGTTCACAGAATGAACTGTGACTACGTATAATGATGTGGACTGCCGTCACTATCACTATGTCAGCCTAAGTAAGAGTTTCCACATACTAGAGCAATTATTGACTTTGATCCCTACTTTACCATTTTTAGATATATAAACTCTAATACAAAATACTATGATTGTATAGGAAATAACATGTTACCCTAAATCCACGGATTTCATTGTTCAGGCGAGTGACTAGCTCATGGAAGAACTTGATTGGATCCGAATCATGCACCTCCTGAATATGACATGATTAAAGCATATGAATGAATAGCAGAGCAACAAAAAATATATCAAAATAAGATCCCCTAGTCTCAGAAGTAAAAATTGCTACCTCTTCGAGCCAAAACAAAAAAAAAAATGATGGCACTGATAAGCTAATCTGGTATTGTGCTTAACTTTATAGTAATACTTGCAGAAAGGTCCTTTATATTATTCATCGGTTGTTCGAAGCCTCATTATACTACACAAGTGGGCGATAGGCCTCATTATAGTAGACAAGTGTTTGCAACTTAAATACTAATTTAACATATACCTTTGATGATGCTTTGGGACGACCAAGAAGCCTTGCAAATGATGTGTGAAGGATTGCAGCATCGTACTGCGTGGGAAAATCGCAAATCACAAACTCAGTCTCTACATCAGTCTATGAATAGGGGACAATAAGTTTCTACTCAACAAGAAATGTTGCACAAAGAATAACAAAACACGATATCGTAATGGGGCTAACCACGAATAAAAATTCATTTTTTAGAAGTCCTGTTCAGAATTTCTAAAATAAATAAAGGCAAACATTCCAAATTACAATAGTCCCGCACACCCAAACCAGTCAGAGAAAAAAAAAATGTTACCAAATAACTACTCTCAAGCTGTAGTATAAGAGATGCACTATTCAAGGTTAACATTTATCTATCAGTAAAACATAACATTAAAATTTCAGAACTAACCATAATTGGTCTTTTGTGTGCGTCTGTTTCACATGACTCGTCAATGATTTGCTCTCTTTTTTTTTTTTTTGTTCAATTAATGCAATATTAGAACAGAAGAGAAGCAATTATAATTCCACTTTGAAAAGATATTGAGTTAAAGACATTTATATGGTTCTTACAAGTTGCTTTTCTGGTGCATGCGGAAGTGCAGTTCTTAGTCTAGCGCGAACGGTTATTGGATCTGTCCCAGAAACCACCTAAGAAATAGGGGGGAAAAAAAACAAAGCAGCATTAAAATGAATAAATAAAAAAATAAAAAACTGATTCCACTGCCATTATTTTGCATGGAGAGACCATTCACATTGATCATTCTTTCAAGTAAACCCTTAAAAACCTTGACTCATACACAGAGCAGAAGCCAACATTAAACAGAAGTAATCCACCATCAGTTAATTTCTAACTCATATCAAGCGATGGTAACACATGAAAAATGTAGTAAATACTTGTATTCTTTTAAGTAAATCTAAACAAATGACAACAGATATCACAAGTGAAAAGTTGGTTAAAAGCTTGAATGATATACCAAAGTTTCACAAAAACATGCAAAAAGCTTATTTAGGAAGGTGAATATTAGAAAGTTGTAGATAACCACCGAGATCGTGGATGAATAATACAATACTTTTACAAATTCTCGATAGTAAACCTTAAACCGTGAAAATGCAGAAAGACCAACCAAAAGAGAGAGAGAGAGATACTAGCTATAGTTTCGCCCTTTCCACA